TTCACCCTCTACCAGTGCTTGAACTAAGTCTTCGTTCTCTGCTGCTGTGGTGGCCGGCGCGGGCTGCTGCTGACGTTGGCTGCCGGCCTTCGCTGCTGGCGAACTGAGTTCCTACCTCGCGCTCTTCTGAAGTTTTGTCAGTGTAGTGAGTCTTGTACATAGCGTTCAGCTCACTTTAGGCCCTTTTGGCCTTTGTAGAAACGTCACCAGGGGCTTTCCGCCTTCTTTCTGAAGTGTTCAGCTCGGGCCTTTTGAAGCTCCAAAGCTGCTTGCGATTGCCAGTCGCTTGTACAGGAACGTCTTGCTGTCGGGCTCCTAGCTACCAGCAAGCTTCAAAGTAACAGTTGTGCGAGTGCCTGCTTCGGTCTGCTTTCTGTAGCCTGAAGCTTTTGGGCGCTGCACTCTTTTCTGACGTGACAGTGACCAGACTGTTTCTGCGGACCTCTCGAGGGCGCAGAGACTTCACAAGAAAACTTGGCAGCAAACAGCTTTCTGTAGGCTAGCTTGCATTTGAGTGCGTGCTTGCCCGCTGCAAAGGGTAGGGTTTCACGGCGTTTGAAAGGGTAGGTGGGTAGGCCTTCTGTGACACTGTAACTTGAGAGACGAAAAGCTTCTGCACTTGGGGGCAGCTCACGTGCAGGGTGACCCCGACATCCTTCGTCTCCTTTCTCTCACCAATCTGTCACCTCTGGCACGGGCGTTGCTTCTCAGCTGAGGCGTTACCTGCTGCACTTAGACTCGGATGCCACCTTTCAGTGTGAAGGATCCAAGTAGAGAGCATGAGCGGTTTGATAACCTTGCCATAAGCCTTTACGGGCGAGCATGTACGACAGGATCCAGAAGTGTGGACCCCTTCAAGGACTTCTACATGCCTACATGTGCCGACCAAGCTTTGGCATCCCAGCAGTGGCACCATCTTAGGCAGACAGTTGAGGAGTTATAGATAGTATCTGCAACCACACATTATCCCTTCTTGGGCTGTTTTGGCGGAGACGGAGGAGATGATCAAATACAGATCTGTGTACGGGTCGTGCTCTGAGAGCGGACGTGGGAAAGGTCCATAGCATTCTGTTGCTCGCGAGGCTCTTTGAGGTTGGACTGGAGGATCCGGCACACACGCAGGGGCACTGGCCTCAGCAAAATGGGCCAGAGTTCTGTGCAGATGGAGTTGTCTGATGTGTGCGCCGAGGTGGTCGAGCTTTGTCAAGGAGCGACTGGCTGAGGGGGGAGGTGCATTGGCTTTCGAGCCTGAGGTTTGGCTTCGAGTGTCGCTTTAGGTGGGTTCTCCTCAACGACTTGCAGCTCGGGACCCTGTTTCTCACCTACCTTGGCATGAAAACAATGGCACTCTGCGAGGCTTCCGAACCCACCGGCTTTGCTGTCAACAGCTGGAATCTACGTCACTCTTCCCGCCAGAGCGCAAGGGAGCTTGAAACGGCAAAGCCTCGGCCCCTCGGCTCCGGCAAAGCCGAGGTCCAAGTCGACGGCCTCGAGCAGATGCAAAAAGTACCTCTCGCCTCGCTCTCGCTTACCTGGGGCACCGCCTGGGAGGCGAGCACTCGCCTTTGCCACTGTGCGTCTGCCGTGCGTCTGTGCTTCTTGCAGCTCGAAGGTCCTCGACCTCGACTTCTTCCATCGACCAGATGTGCTAGAGTTCAGCCGTCGTGTCGGCGGACCTGTTTGAGAGTTGCAATGCTGACATCGGTTTGAAGTCCCTATGCCGACGAATGTGACATGATCCATCAAACCGAACAAACATCGGCATGTAACCTGCCCAATGAGTCAGACACTCCCAGAATCAGGACAGAGCAGACAGCAACCTTTCTGTTGCTCTTGATAAGGCTTGTCAGACCATCAGGCCCATGTAGGTCGCCGCCCTGAGCCCCCTCAGGCCCCGCCTCCCTGCATTCTCCATAATGTCATGCGAAGGGATGTGCAGCAGCTCTTCAGTGCGTCTCCCCAGCTGCACGCTTTGCTACTGCCCCGAGTAACGAAGTGAAAACTCCCCCAAGCTTCGTTGAAGGGTAGAGTCAAGTCAGACTCCGGATTTTCCACACGGTGCTTTTTCCGGCGGTGCTTTTCTCTTTCTTGGGGGCAGTGGCAGGTCGAGGCTACGCTTGGGCACTACAGGCCAAAGCGTTGCGAAATTTGACGGTGTTGACACACTGCGAGAGCTCGCAGATGCCTGGTTAGAAGGCATCTCTGGGGTGACCATCTCATTCGCGCTTATCAGGCCAGGTTTCGTGCCTGCGAGTCGCCTTGCTCGATGCCTTGCTCACATCTCCACAGGGAAGTTCAGGAGCAAACGGCGAACGGCAGCAACAGCAATACATGGCTCGCTCTCCGTCCCCCTTCCTCTCTCCTTTCTTTCCTTGGTGTACTTAGTCCAAAAGGACCTGCCTGGCCCCGCAGTGCATCCTGTAGGTGCTTCTCCACGCGTCGCTCGAGCAAGTACGCTGCTTTGATACCAACGAGCTACATGGCAGGTGGCTCTACTACCTGCAGTACTTGAGACTCAATGTTTAGAGCTGTGAACAACTCGTGCTCACATCGCCTGTTTCGCACACTCATGACTACCTGCAGTCATGGCTGTTCTTCGGATGGGATGTTCGATGCGGAGGAGGCACCGCTCTTTCCATCAGTGGAGGAGTTCAAATTTAGCAGAGGATGTATCATACAATTGTCTGACGGTAGTTGGAAGACATGTGCTGCAGGTCAAGAGGGGCGAGGACAAGGGCTGGGAGAATATCTACCAGGTAGAGGAGGACATTTCATGCCGTGGACTCAGTGGACAGCATATTGACCTGAACGGCAGAGCCATGCTCGGAGCAGGCCCAGACCTTTGGCTGGAGAACGGATTGCGAGGCCAGTTGAGTTTCTTAAACACTTCTCGCTGCGTTTCTCTCGGGCTCGTGCGCACATGTCGTCCTTAGCTTAAAACCCCAGGGCCCACAGCAAACACGCGGTTCCTTGCATGGGTGCATGCGAGCAGTATGCGAGCCTTTGATGGAGGAGGGTCGATATTTGCAACATAGCATGGCATCGCCTAGCAGCAGGTAGCTTAGCACAGTTTAGCACATGTTCGGGCACGTATGTATGTAGCGTGTGTAGGTTTTTAGGATCTGGTATTCAGGCCCACCGTCCTATATGTGCAAACACACACACAGGATGGGGTCCCCGAATTGAGCAGTGGGTTTGGTCAGGAACGGTTAGCGACTGCATCACATGTCGGTGCAAGGTGGGGCCACTATTCCTTAACCGGTCCGTGCGTCCAGGTGTTCCTTGGCAGGGTGGTCCTGGAAGCGGGACTCCAGTTGCCAGAATGCAATTGGTTCAAGCCCTGTTGGAGATTGCTTAGCGTGCGAGGACTTCGCCGAAGGATTGTCTGCAGCTGTGCAATGGAGAAGGCCTGTGTCAGGCGGGAGGGTGCATGAAGCTGTGTGCTTTTGGCAAAGATGCAAGTTCCTGGTGAATGATCGGGGTCTCAGGGCTTCGATTTTGTCTACTACTCGTCGACTCAGACTGCTGACTGCGTGCTCAGACACGAGCGCGCGACGAGCAAGGCCTCTCCGTTGAACTCTTTGAGGACTCTACATGCTTTCGAGGGACTCGTGACAGGTTTGTCAAACCGGCGGCGTTGCGGGTGCCGCCATGGAAGCTTGGAGCCAGATCGGACTTGACAGTTCTCTTGTTACGCAGGCACCCTCCTCGGTTGTGCTTGGGCCTGGTCTGAACGCTCGCGTAATGGGTGCAGCAGGTTGGAGCGGCAAACCGCTACCAGATCATAGAAAGGACCGCTCAGAGGCCACGGTGGGTCAAGGTGAGAAGATCATGGCGTATGTATTTAGGGATATATTGGATAGGGCCCGGTCTCTTTGCGCACTCCCCGTCATCCGCCCGTAGACAGCTGCACTTGCTCCAGCTTGCAAGGCAGATGGACTGCAGCGCTTGGCGTGAGGCAAGTGTGGAGATCGTGAGGTCCCGATTCTGTCTGGGCAAGTGCCAGGAGATGAAGGCGAGAATCCGCACCGCCACTATTGATAGCCTGCAGGATCTGCCGTGAGCTGAAAAACAAGGACTTGGCTGCAGAGCGGATGACTCCATGGATCCTGGATTTGCAGCTGTCTGCCAGACATGCTCAGGCTCACAGCATTCGAAGTCGAAGGCAGTCAGGACATCTTAGCAGGCAGAGTTCGCTCGGTATTCCGAGAATAAGTTACAACGCAGCTGCGGGGACAGAGTCTCCAGCACACTGTAGTGCATGACGACTTCTTGGAAGTCAACAGTAGAGGATAGATGCCTAACTGCATTGGAACCTGCAACTATAGCCAGCTAGGCTGCAACTTTGTAGCTGCTCTTCATGGCAGTGCCCCAGATGTTGCACCCACTCCTTCACCTAACGGTGCTGCCTGCCTGGTTGCTAGAGTCGCGAATTGCTCGCTCGCGGGCTCTTTCTCTCTCTCTCTCTCTGTCTCTGTCTCTCTCTTTTTTCTCTGTCTCCGTCTCTCTCTCTCTCCCTCTGTCTCTCTGTCTCTTTGTTTCTCTGTCTCTCTCTCTCTCTCTCTCTCTCTCTCTCTGCACATACCTGACAGGATACGAAACACAGCAGCACTTTCGTGAAGATCTGCTGCACAGGTGTCGTCTCGGAGGAGTTGCTACCTATCTAGCCGTGTTAGCAACGTGTAAAATTTAGCCTCTCGACATCTCTCGTCCAAAGAGCTAAGCCCAGAGTTTTGCCGTTTGACGAAGCCATACTGCCGACAACGAAGCCAGGCCTGTCGCGACGAGCTTTTGCAGGCGTGGCGCTCGAGTCGCCTTGAGCCAATGTGGCACTTTCTCTTCCGTTCTGTACAGCTCACGGCAGCCTTCCTTTGATATCTCGGATGTGGCAACTTGCCAATGAGGGATTGTCGTTATCGTGGTGCGATGCGAGGCCAGCCAGTCCATCAACGCACTGCAAGACGAGAAGACCCGGCTTCTACTGGAGGACAGCGAGCAGAGTTAACATGGTTTAGCAGAGTTAAGATGGTTTGGACTCCCGGAGTTTCCTACCCCGATTGCATCCCGACATCAAACACCTCGCTTTCTTGCTCTTCTCACAGGTGGAGGAAGCGGAAGATGAGGCCGGGGACCTTTCAAGGAAAGTTGAAAAAGTGTGACAGCCGCGGCTTTCAACACGTGAGGCCCGGCAGTGGCAGCGCATGGCAGTGGTGCTCCTGCAGAGAGTGGCCGCAGGCATGGCCTGAAAGCAGATGGCTCTGGACCCCAAATATGCCGGTCCGTGCCGGTGGTTGCTGACCAATTAACAGAGGTCTGTCTTGCGTTGTGGTATCAGGTGGAGCTGCCACCCGCACCCGAACTGCGTTCCCTGCCAGGCCATGTGCGCTTCAAGGATTGCTAACACGCAGTCATTACAGTTTGTAGGCGCATCACAAGTCTGCAGCCACCACTTGTGGTGGAGGTTCCGGATGAGGCTCGTCAGTTCTGCTTTGGACCTGGCTGTTGTTCTTCGGCCATGCCTGCGTGCCAAGGTACAAGAAGTCAGCGCGCAAATGCTGAACACAAGGCTCTCATGACTGTGATGTGATGCAGACAGAACTTCGGACAGTTGCTAGCAGAACATTGCACAGTGGAAGATTGTGTTCCGTTCAGGATTCTTCGACAGGAGCTTGCCTTCTCGCAGGCACGGCTACAGCAGGAAGAGGCGGGTCTGCTCCTAAAGTTTCATGCGTTCTGGCCGTGTCAATTTTGGGTACAGCGTGCTTCGACATGTTGTGAACAAGATCAGTGAAGACAAGTTTTCAGTACACTGGACAATGAAGCAATACCTACACTGAGCTTGGCTAGAGTCACAGGAGGCGCTTGCACCAACTACATGCAAGAAGATCAGCACTGGAATGGCACCGTTCCAGCAATGACATCCCCAGCTAATTCTCTCCTCTTTGACTCGGAATGCTGCGGCAAAGCTGCAAAGAGGCTGCAAGCAAGTGAGGCGAGGCAGGTTCTGCTCTATATCTCGTATTAAGCCGGGTGCTCCTTTCGTCTGAGCCTCCGGAAGCTAAGATCAGTTCCTAGAGCCCGGCTCTTTCGTTCCCTTCAGAGCCTCCCCGAAGTCAAGTCCGTGTGCTCCCAGCCAGGCCGAAGTGGAGCAGCTGGTTGCCGACTTAGAAGATCTGCGCATGAAGGAGACTGGCCATTTCCATCGGTGCTTTGCAGCGCGCCGATTTCCAAGCGGCCTGTTTGAAGCCTGCTTCTTTACACCTAGGTTTGAACGTAGAGACTTGTTCCCCTGCGTGGGCCATCATTGACTACGAGAACTGAGGGGAGATGACCAGTACGCATGCATGTTTTCAATGGTCTGTGCGAGCACGCCAGATACATCCAGATAATAACCCTACCCCTGAATAGTTCCATTCTGTTCCGTGTCCATACATGTCCATACCAACGGTGACCGTCTTGTGCTGTAGACTGTTGCTTGAACTAGTCTTGTACTGTCGGAGTCATTTAGATCTGTTCCAGTTTGCAAAAATGACTTGTTCAAAAGTTTCACAAGTCTCGCTGGTTGAGGGATGTGAAGTGCCGAGCTTGTTTTAATGCCCATCCCTGAACTGAGACCCTGGGCTCTCGAGCATTGGCGCTGTGTTTTTTCTTGCTAGCAAAGTCTCGAGGAGCTCTCCGCAGAAGCCACCGTCCAACACCGCGAGTGGCATTCTGCGACAGTGCAGAGTGGCCTGCTTGGCATTATGACCCCAATACGCAGTACAATATTATGTCCATCTAGACTGAGGTCTTCGACAAAGCATTGCAAAGCAAGCCCAGGCCGGTCCAAAACAGATTTTCTTGCTGTAGGCGCTGGTGGTCAGTGCTTATTCTGTTTCGCCGAAGCCAGCGACCGTTGCTGTCGGGACGTCCGCAAACTAGTTTTTCGGCTGAAGCAGTTGCTGAGGAGCCGATTGGGATCCTTGGTTTGGACAGATGGCCTTGACGCTTCAGTACTGCCGCACTTTCATTGATGCACAGGAAGGTGCAGCGAATGTTCAAAAGCCTCGCTCTTCCAGCACGCCTCCTTACCTTGGTCGTCAGAGTTGGGATACAAATGCCCGCCGCGAGGAAGAGGCATTGAGGACATATGTCACCTCCCTTACCACCAACGTGACTGACCTCCGCCCTGGAAAAGACCCCAGGGCCGGCGAAGAATTTCCAGAGCCCGAAGAACAAGCAGCATCCACCTCTAGCGATGCCTGCTTCCTCTTTCCCAGCAAGGGAAGTGTTGGCCATCCTGAGCTTTGCCATCGTCCCTGCATCTATTTTGCTTCCGGCCACTGTGAGAATGGCAGGGCCTGTGGTTACTGCCACATGGAACACCAGGAGAAGCCCATAAAATTGGACAAGCAGCAGCGGGCGATGGTTCACAGTCTTAGCAAGCCTCAGGTTTTGGCAATCATGCTCCGGTACCTCAAGCCAATCGCAGCAAGGCAAGGATTTGAGCTCCAAGCCGCCGAAGTGGTGCAGCTTGTCGAGCGCGAATTCGCCTTGCATGGACATCATGCTGATGAAGCTTTGGCAGAGATTCCGGAAAAAGTCATGAAGAAGCTGAGCAAAACGCTGGACAGGATGCGTTTTTCGGGAATTTTGGGGCTTGCATCGCAGGAGCAGATAGGCTATCCCTTCCGACAGCACATGATTGAGGCACTGGAGAGGCTACGCGCAGCAGCATTCACACACGATCTTACAGAGCACGAGTGAGTGCTTGCGTAACCAAGTTGCATGGGCTGTTCGTCGCTGTACCCTGGTTCGTCGCTGTACCCTGGCCAGAATTTTTCAACAGCCTTGGCTGGCCAGTGATGTACTGACGTACAGCTGCAGATCACTCCCATCATCGCAATGTTGACAGCACTGTAGCACATACAGAAGTAACCCAGGTGCCTTTCAGAAGTTCTCTTGATCTCGTCGCCTCCGGAGTGATATGCAGAGCATGTGATTCCCTGCCAAAAGGCACAGGGATGTAACACTACCCAGCCTCGCCAACCCTTCCTGGTGACACTTTGCGTGACATAACAGCAAGTGCAACCAGGGGTTTGGCCGCGAATTCGAGTACAGGTATTCATGACTTCATCACCAGCCTCTTTCGGTGGATTGAGTGGACTGTTTCTCAGCTTACCTTGAAGCTGACTTTCGGGAGACGTCTGTGTCGGGTGTGTTTGATCTTGAGAGCATATTGTGGAAATGAACCAGCCTGCACCGGGCACGGACGTGAAAAGTGCAACCGTCGACTGGCTTCTATCGGCCTCGTGCCAAGCGTGCAAGTATTGCGCCCCTAGAGCCAGTTGGTATGCGCTTGGTTCCAAGAAATTTTGTGACGATGATGGCGATTTGTCCAGATGTTCGCTGCGGGTCCTGAGCGCTGTAGGTAAAGCGCCTCGCACCTTTCGTCAACAAACTGCCGAATGTACGAAGTTTTGCGGTGAGATGACAAATTGCCCGTGCCGGAAGTCTAAGGTATCAGGGGATCAAACAGCTGTGCATCGAACGCGCAATTGAGTTTTGATAGGGAGGGATCCCCCCACACACGAACACCATAATCCCAGCCACCTCCCCAGAACCGCTGGCAGCTGTCTCTCCTGCGTCCCTTCCTCGCGGATCGCAGGCCATCGCCATGTACAAGGACCGGGCTCGCAGAGCAGAGCTCCATCTGGATCGACTTCGCGACGAGATTCTGCAGCTTCGACAGGCCGGAGCTTTGGGGAATGGAATGTTCCAAGGGCCGTCTAAACTTCCCCATGTACCGTTGTCTAAGCAGAGATGCGGATGTTCGTCGGCTTTGGGGAGGCCCTGCAACCGAGGGGCTCAAAGCTACATGGATGTTGTGTAAAGCCAGTGGCTCAACACCCGTAGCGTAGTTCACTCTAGTCTCTAGTTATGCTGCTGTTTCAACTCCGGGACAGTCTAACGCATTTAATACTGTTTGTGGCGTGGAATTCACATGATGTAGCCAAGAAAGGAGGAACCGCCGGCGTCATGAAACTTACACTGTGAATGTTGACTTCTGTTGCTTCCAACTTGGATTCCATAAACCCTGAAAGATTCGTCGTGCGACCGACCTTGGGTGACAAGCTGTTGTCTTCTGTCTTGCGGACCGGGGGGGAATATCACCAGCGGGACCAATGTCATAGGGAGCTTCAGTTAGCTTGGATTTTACAATGCAGGTTCAGGTCGGGGACGCCGTGTGTGCTGGCTGGCAGTTTTGTAGTAGTTTGTAGCGCGAGAAGCCCCGAATGACTCATGTACGACCGCAGCCTTGTGAGTTTGAGTGCGGTGCTTTCCCTACACGGGTCTTATGTGGGGAAAGGGCAGTTCACAACACCCAACATGGGTTGGCCTGACGGACGGAAACCTGGGCGGTAGGCCTTCGGGCCAGGGTCACGACCCACAAACCCGTTGCCAGAACGTAGGTAAGCAAGAGAGTCATGCGGACCAGTGCGCATGCGGGGAGGGCAGGAGTTTTCTGTCCTCGTTTGGCTTGTGTAAGAAGGAGAAGAAGACGTTCTGTCCCCTGTATTCACGGGTTGACTTTCGGCGTTGTAAGAGCCCGTGACATGCTGGCCGCTTGAAGATCTGCAGGAAGAAGCCAAAGCTGCAACGGAAGAATGCCGGACGATGTCCCGTCGCACCATCTTGGAGAACGATCGACAGTCCGTGACTTGCCCGCATGCTGCGAGCTTTGGTGATGAAGACTGATGTCATGCTGCCCAAACTCAAGACTACTCTTAAGACTCACTGGCTCACCCTAGACTCTTAATTTCTGAAATTGTGGCTTTTCCTGCAGCCATGCTGCGTGCTTTGCCGCTTTGCACGAGGTGTCGCTGAGGATGTTGCTTTATTGCGGCATGCCGTTATCCCATGTTATCCCTATCATGAGAGGAAAACTTGCCAGACCTCTGACCTCTCAGCAGGAGCTTCGCAGCGTGACGCTGGCTTTGTCATCAGCCCAGCTGTCCATGTGCTCGTGCTCGCCCTTGATGTTCGTTTCAAGAAGACATCGAATCCTGAGCTGAACATGCAGGGGTCCTAGCAGCCTCGCAGTGCTTGCAAAGGAGCGGCTGGCTTTCACTTTTCATTTGCCCAAGGTGCGAAGAACTTGCGAGCTCGAACCATGCTGCAGAGAGTGTGCTCGAGGACGCAGCGCGTGAAGAGAGCGTATGCTGTATGCTGATGAAGGGCCGGCTGGTGATTGCGAGCCCAATAGATGCCAATATTCCGTGTGAGTGAGGAACTTCAGAAACCTCCATCATGCGTTTTTGATGCAGATCCGTTCATGTCATTCCAAGTATCACTCTGTCTTCTTTTTCCTGAGAGGAGCAGCTGAACTCGTCTCATGTAGCACAGCGTCGCGTGAGCCAGGGGTCGCGGCTGCGGCTTCTGCTCGGTGAGAATGCACCGAGCAGTCAATGAGTCAAGAACGCATTCCAACGTCGTCGTGCACGCCATTGCCCTGCCCGGGCTGGGAAGTTCGGCAGCGGCGCAGGACCGGCAAAGCAGGCAAAGCACGCCTGGCAATGACGAACCTGGTATCTCTCCACACTGACAAGGTCCAACTATTTCATCAACATCACGCCCAGAATCTAGGAGACTCCAGCTACACCGGTGCCAAGACTGCAGAGGCGTGCCCATCCTGTTCCTTGACTAGACGCGCCGAATCTGGAAGCATAGTGGGCACAATTGGCGAGGCAGGTGGAAGTGCCACAGTGATCTCCAGATGATGCGAACAAGCAATCGGTGGTGGCCTTCTGTTGAAGAGCCTGGGTGAGCAGAATTTCTCCGACCACAACCGAGCACAACAGGCCGGCGCTGCTCCGAATCGCCAGAAGCTGCAACGAGTCGGAAAAAAAACATGGCCAGACGCGACAAGCCAAGAGGGCGAGGCGAAATTTACCCCGTACCCGGGAATCCTGCACAGCAAGGATCTTACACGGTTCACTGAGATTTCGGATTTGCTAGCGGCACAACGACATCTATACTCTTTTTAGATTCCAAGCTGTGCCGTCTGCTCATGTCTCCTGGTGCTGTTTGGAGTTGGCCTCCACTGGCCCGTAAGGTTTGCCGATATTCGTCCAGGAGTCAGCCCACATGTTGACAAGGACACGCAAGTTCTTGGAATTTACAACAGTTCAGGTATCAAGCCAGCACTGTACGCATCCACCATCTGCGGAAGACCAGCTAAAGCTTCACCACGAAAGCCGGACTCGGCTTGTTCTCGCCCGATTCGCGCAGAAGCGCTTGATGTGTCCTGTACAGCTTCAGGGCCGACATAAGTATGTCGCCCGTCGTAGGTCCTCCCTGTTGCAGACCGTCGCGTTGGCCACATCCTAGAAAGGCTTGTCCACGGCGTGCCGATCTGCGTGTTTCGACTTGTCCCTGCCGTCCTCCGATCCACATCGCTTAGCGGTCGCTATCTTGCATATTCTTGCGTACTGCATGACAAGGCCAGACAGGCGAGGTACTTGACCGGCACTCGTAGTGTAGCCTGTGGAATTTGAGTTTCTCTCAGCTACGCCGTGTGCGCTCGCCCACTCCACTCTTTTGGCTTGAGTCGGCTTGAGGGTAGATGAGGGTAGGTGTATGGGATCACGCAGCTGTCAGCACTCCACGCAGCAACCGTTGAATCAGGCCAGTCGTAGCAGAATATACATTTTGCTTTCTAGAGTAGGTTCGACGACGACTGAGCTGAACATACAGGCGGGATGCAGGAAAGTAGACATGTCCAGAGCGTGCTGCTCCAGCTAGTGGCTAGTGTGCCTCACAGGATGGACCACCTGACCGAAGAGCAAACTTTCAACCAGGCAGCTCAAGCATTTCTGCAAAGTCGAAGACATGGGACGACAAACAAAGAGGACTCCGCTCCACGCTGTTAGCTGGTTCAGGTGACCATGGAATGGGACGGCTACAGCTCGCATCTGAGTGGGCACCGAACGCAGGGTTTAGGGGCTAGGCTTTTGGGTTCAGGGCAGCAAAGTAGCACTGCTTGACGCGTGGGTCCGCGCAGCACGTTTGGGCGTTGCTGTTGAAGGGTCTTCTTCTCAATGGCTTGGAGCAGCTGGACTTAAGTTCGTGGAAGGCGTGTGCTGGAACCCGGACCTACAAGTTCACAGTGATTCCGTCAAAATTATCTTCGGGTTTGCAGTCAATGAGTAGCATCTTCGGAGTCGAAGTGGTGCCTAAGGCTGGACAACTTCACCGTCGACCGAGGTCAGCATGAGCATAGCAGAATCTCGGATGGTTTAATCGACGATTTTGTATCGAGTGGGCACAAAGCTTACTGCCCTTGCACAATGCGCCTTGCTTTGGGGCAAGGACGTCCTGGGAAGCCACGTTATGCAAACCAAACTGCTGGAGGCCGACACTGAGCCTCGGCATGTTGCTACCCACTGGCTTCCCTCCGTCTGAATCTTGCAGGCAGCACTTTCAACATCATCGAAGATCGGTGACTTGAGGACGGACGAAACGGCTGCACGTTCACTGGACATGGTTACAGAGAATGCCTGAACGTGTGCTGCCCTGAGGGCGTCGCTGACAGCTGCTAATGATGAGCTGTCTGCCAGTGCCACGATGGAGTCTGCGGCCCGATTTGTGCGATGACTGAACGAGACCTAGCAGTCTAAACCCGTCCGGAGGATAGAAACCGTGCTTGGAACCATCCGTCAAAGACCGGAAACCTATTACAACCAACTGTCTGACTATTGAGGTCCGGTTTCGCGGTGGATCCTGCAAGTGTGCTGCTGGTGGATCGGGTGCTGCGTGCGGACAGCGGTAGCAGATAGTTTGCGGCCGATCGTAGTCAATGCAGGCTTTGCAAAGCGTTGTCCTCAACGCTGGGCGTACCTCAGCCAACAGACGTCAAAGACTAAAGGCGCCATGTGCAGAGACGCAGAGATGTTCGGACAAGTTGTCCGCCTTCCATATTTTCTGGTATGGCCAGGCCAGTCACTTCTTCTGACGTTTGCTGCGCCGGATAATGTCCATCGAGGAAGCGTGAGATTTGCCTCGTCAGCTCAAAATCGAGCACAGACGCACGCAGGGGAATGGCCGTGCTCGTAGGAGCTGAAGTTTCTGTCTGCATCCTTGTGACTGAAGCCATCTGAAGCTTGGACTCATGCCGCCGCACTCAGCCGGCTCAGCCTTCGCAGAGCGACCTTGTACATAGCCTGCAACGCACTTTCGCCACCCGCGCAGCACCCACGCTCGAGCTTTAAAACTCGTGCGCCGCTCGCGAAAGTGCTTTGCTCTGCAGAGTCGGTTGCAGGCCGTTTGACTGGATGTGCTGGTCACCAAGCAGAGCATGCAAACAGCTCGACAGCCTGCAAGCACTGTTGAAGGAAGTCAAACGATGCACCATGATATCCTCTTGCATTTTCTTCCACCCATAGCTTTAGCTCCTGGCAGCTGTCAGCTGAGAGCTGCGGCCGCTGTGCCGCTTCCTGTGGATCGCAAGATTCGGACCGCAACCAGTGTGCATGCACCATGTGCATGCTGCATTCTCCAAGCTTTGCACTGCTGTGCAGTGTTGGGAAGGACAGCGGTCCATGCTTGCGGAGATGCAGGAGTTTAAGTTTGCAGTAAAGTCCAGAACAGAGCACGTTGGCCTTCAGCTTGTGCCGGTGGGCAGGACCTTGATACGAAGTGGGGTCACGAAGACAAGCGGGAGGTGGGAACAGCGATCCGCATGTTTTACGGAACAGCATTCCGAGTGGCAGGGCGAGGAGGCCTCCTGGTTGGAGTCTTTTCCTTCGCAATGGTTTCTTGCAAGCTCCCTGGCACTCTCGTCGGATTTGATTAAGTATTGTGGCCAGTTGAAAATTTCCAGGATGCAGGGGAGCCCCTGCTGCCATTTTGGATTGATGAGAACGAGAAGTCCGAGCATGTCGCCTCAGCCTTACCTGCATGTCTCGGGGAGACTTGAAGCCCGACGCGCAAAGCCAAGGAGGCAATCTTGGAATTTCACACTGAGCCATGTGCAGACTTTCAGCGTGGCTTCTGCGCCAAACATGGCATCCGCGGGAAGGCTCCGGTTCACATGCGAGATTTTCAGTAAGCAGTCGGAGCAGGTTTGGGCTAGGTAGTGAAAGGATTCCGAGCCGTCGAGCCGTCTGGGTCAGACGAGACTGGGGGCTTATACGGGCCGGTTGGAACTATCCAAATTCGCAAGTCCTTGCATAAACACTCGGGCCATGAAGGCGCTTCAATGCCGGGGATTTCATTTTGAGCTGGAATCTTATTCGAGAGGGGACAGCCGTCAGCATGTGGGAGTCGTTTTGGCTTCGTGCCGATCGTGTGAGCTCTGAGTTCGCAGCGTCGACGGAAGCCCGTGGATCTCACAACCGGTCAGCTGTGATAGCCTCAGACCTCGAATATGGCATGATTCAATGATGCGACTTCCGAAGCATTCTGTCGACTTCATTAGGACATACTGGGAGACACCCTGCCCCTCGTGGACAATGGAGATGGGCTTTTGCCACGGCCTCAAAGTGCTCACATACACCGGCTCATCCTCAACCAGCATCGAGAAAGGTTGCATGGCGGGAGATGCCTGTCCTTTCGCCCATGGTCGGGAAGAGGCGGCTCTCCTTAGCGCCGCGCTGAAAAATCACCGAAGGACGGGGGGCCTCCTTGTCATGAGGTCTCCTACCACCCTGCCAAATACAAGACACGCCCATGCAATGGTGTGTCCCTCGGATGAGTCTCAAGACCGCAAAGAACGCGTGTGCTGCCGACTTAGGCACTGACTGTCGTGGTGAGGGGGCATGCTGCTTCGCTCATGACGAGACGGAGATGAGGCCACGGCTCTTGGTTTTTCCTTTTCAGGTCATGCCATCTCCAATCAACTCGACCCCTGATGCCATTCCTGATAGCATGTGCTGCGAGCTGTTGCCAGCAGGGAAGAAGGTAGTGTGCTTGGTGAGGCAAAGTGCTCCAGGGAGATACTCGTACTTCGCGCTGTCATCGTGCTCTGCTCAAACGTTGCCTCTGTAACGCCACGCACAATTGCGCTAGCCTGAGGTCGAAGGTGCGGGCTGGTGGCTCTCGACTTCCTAACCTGGAGACAAGCAGGCCTGCAAACGCAGGTGATGAGGCGTCAGAAACAAGTCTTCAGAACTGCAGCCAGGCGAGTGGCGGACCCCAGTACCCGGTCAGGCAGGAAGCGATCTTGTACTTCGGGTATGCCATTTTGCACTCTTGCCTGTGCAGGTGGGGCTTTGAATCCAAAAGCCCGCTTCTGTGCATACTATCCGCACCCTGCCTGATCTGTCAGTCTTCTCAAGCATCAAGTGGTCTTACCCAAGTGAGACCCTTTTCTTGAGATCTGGTGAGGCATGTTGGCCAGTGCCGGCGTGGCTCCTCGTGCTCTTTCGCGCACACTCGAGAGGAGGCGGATAGGCATGTTGCTGCGGAACTACGGCGAAGAGCAAGCATCACGCCAGGTTCAAATTCCGCTCCTGTCTGTTGCGGAAGAAGAGCACGAGGAGAGCGCGATGACGCCGGACTTCTTTACGAGGACTGCACCAGTGAATTTGCATTCCTACATTGGGGCAGACAGCGGAGGGCCTGAGACAGGATTGGAGTACAGGGTTCTTGCAAGTCACGGATGCTAAGCTTATGCAGCTGTTACACGATACATTGATTTTGGCAGTCTCAGCCAGCACCAGGAAATTCAAAACAACGTGGTGTCCAATCGGCGCCGGGCACAGCACAGAACAAGGCTGTCTGCTTCATACTGTGATGGTGTGATGACAAGACAAGTTGACGGTGCAGCTCCGAGCCCAGGCGCGCAGCACGATTGGCAGATTTGCGTGCTGCCCCGAGCACTTTCATCGAGTATGTCGCTCCTGCTGTACCATGGATCGGTCGGCTTGGAAGCTGATTCTCGATCAGCTGTGGTCGCTTCCATGAAACCTTGAAGGGAGTTGCTGTGAATACCCGCAAGGAGGTCGCCTTGACACAGCGTTTGCTTTCAAGCCCCAACATTTTGAGGGTTGCAAACCCTGAGTCCTGAAAGCACCCACAAAACAGGCTGCAGGAGTGGGCCATGTCAACCCGAAGACGAACCTTACAGCGACTGCGCTCTGAACCCCAGCTCACGGAAACGACAACCTCCGCTAAAAACAAAAAGATGCGGTGAACGCCGATGTACGCCCGCCTGCACCGTAGGGAGAAGCATTTCACTGGGAAGCACACTGGTTTTGGAATAAAAAACGGTCAAAAACATCAGCACGCATCAGCGCTTCTACATGGTTTGCTTGCGAAGTATCTTTTGGCATCCCACCCGCTTTGAGTCGAGAGTGCCCGATACGGCTGTGCGCAGCTTGCTACCCCGCTGCTACAGACATGTTCTTGAAACGACAACTCTCCCTTTGCAGTAACTTGCTGAGATCATCATACGATCACTCCATTGCGACCGCGCGGGGACCACTCCTCGCACGGCTCTGCATTTATTTGTGGAGCCTTGCAGCCTGCCACATGTATGTGAGCCGAGTGGGAGGCAGTGACGAGCATGGGTCACATCTGCTACCGCTGTAGGGACACAGCATGTAAACTCCTTGAGAAAGCCAACCTGGGATAACCAGACTTGTGCAGAATCCTCATGTCTGGAATGATGCGCGGTGCCAGTTTACCTGTCCACGCGCCGCCGGGCGTATGACCGACCGACCGACCGACCGACCGACCAATCGCTTTGCTGAGTTTCCGGTCAACAAAAAAGACCGACCGATTGACTGACTGACTGACTGACTCACTGACTCACTAGCTCACTGACTCACTGACTGACTCTGCATGCACTGTTTCGCTTCTCTTTGTATGCCCAAGTCCCGAGTGCAATGTGTTTCTGAAAGCCTCTTCTGCAGTTCTGGTGCCTTGCGGTGAACAGTTTCTGGGGATCGTTGAGTGCCAGGGGCTTCAGAGACAGTATCGAGAGTCGAGGGTTTGGTTTGTCCCGGCTGCTCCCTTGCTTTAGCTTGTGCTCTTCGATGAGGTCTACGCGCATACGTATCAGGCCAGTGCTGTTACCTGTGGAAGGGCTGTGCTTTGATACGCTTTGTTGCCATAAGTGCAGCACGTGCAGTATCCTTCATGATCCTTCGCAGTCGTAGAGGAGCCTATCGTAAGGAATGAGTCGCAGTCTGTGATGATGGAGATGCTGCGTTCGAGCCAACGAATCCTGCCAGGATGCAAGACGTGAGGCCTGTGACTGATGGTTTGGGCATCATACCGTCCTCTGCTGCTGCAAGTACTATCTCTCACTAACTCGGCAATTGGCAATCTTCGCCACACCAACGCTCGTCTGCACAACCTGATCTGAAATGCCAGCCATCGATTGGCTATGGGCCACAGCCATGCCCTTTCTGGGGAAAGAAGGACCGAAACGGGATGCTGCCTCATCTCATCTTGGTGCAGCACACTGGCAGTTTGAATCAGGACACGCGAGTCCGCCTCCTAGTTCGCGCTCTATCACAGAAACACCATGTATGCGCATGAATGCTCAGTGCCTGTGAAGTTACTACGTTCCAAGATCGTGCTGCAAGCTCCAAAGGTCTCGTATTCGCAACGTTGCCCTTTGGGCCTTCGCTGCCCGTATGCCCACGGTGCGAAGGCTCCTTATGTGCTACACGTAGACGAGACGAGGCAAATGCCTAAGATGTGCAGTAAGATGTGCTTCGCATGGCAGGAGCAGCTCTACCATCCGAAGTATTTCAGGACCGCGCTAAGCCGTCAAGTTGCAGGTATCAAGTCTAGGTCTCGGAGTGCGAGTTGCAGGACTGTTACATGCCGAGACATGCAGATGAGGGGTCATCCCTGCTCTCCTTCCTTTGATGGGTGGTAAGCGTTTGCATTGGCATGTGCTAAGGAAGAACGTAGTGGATGCAAGAGTATTCCACGTTGGAAGTTGGAACGTCATGTTGTGCTCTTCGCCAGGGTGTCCTCGGCAGAGGCTGTGCGCCTTCT